GTGGGCACGGTGCCGGGGAGGGAGAAGCCCGGCGGGAGGGTGGGCAGCTGGGAGCTGCGGTGGGCATACACACAGAGCAGCAATGGAGGCGCACACCGAGGCCACGCTGCCACGAGGCACGGGGACAACAGGGGACACAGGCACATGGCGGCAGGGACGGGGCAGCCCTGGGCGGCTCTTGCAGTGCAGACAGATCTGAGAGGGAAGGGATGCGCAAACAGACAGGCACCCATGATGCACCCCACGCTCCCACCTGCCGTGGCTTCCTGTCTGAGCCGAGACACGGTGACAAACTGACAGATGGACCAACAGGACACACGCTGCTGGCACAACCCCGGCGTCACGGTGGACTCAGCGGGCAAAGCCACAACACATGCCACGAGACACCCATCAACACACCAAGCACACGCAGACACACGCCAGTGGAGACACAGGGCATGGGGGGGATCAGAGGGCAATGGCACACACAGCAGCATGGGGCGGCTGCCCTCTCGCACATCCATACACACACAGCTCGCCCATCCCGGCTGGACAGCACCCAGGAAGGACCAAAGAGGCCAAGGTAGCTGGGAAGGCAAAGTCAGGTTAAAAACAGAGCGAAAATGAAGGCGGAGGAGCCGGCTGCGGGGATCACTGGGCGAGGAGGTGCCAGAGGAGCTGGGGTGGTGCCGGGCACTGGTGGAGGTCACAGACAGCGAGAGAGAAAGAGCAGGAAAGAGCAAGAGAGAGGAGAAGCAGTGTCGTCCACCGCCGGCCTGCTGGGAGGGAAGGGGGAGAGATGAGCGGGGTGGATGGACGGCTGGAGAGCAGTTACTTGCTGGGACAGGAGACACGCTGAGGCACCGGGCTGGAGCCGCTGGGGATGGGCTGGAAGGAAGAAGATGAGAAACAGGGATGGAGGAGACGTTTCGAGAAAGAAGAGCGGGTGGTCGGTAACGCTGGGTGGGGAGGCGAGAGCAGAGGGTGCCGGAGCTTGTCCCCTCTGCTGGCCAAACCCTCCGCATCCCGCGGGGTTCAAGGGGATAAGGAGCAGGGGGGATGGAGGCAGGGAGGCCATGCATGCGCTGGGATGGGTCTTTCGGACCAGCGAGCTGGGGGGAAAGCGGGGAGCAGGGTCTTGCTGCGGCACAGCCAACCACCCCCCATGCCTGGCACCCAGCGTCACCCGTCCCCTCGCCTGTGCCAGCACGGTATGGCACAGTGGCCGGTGCTCCTGGCAGGGACCGGCTGCACAGCGCAATGCCGGGGAGGGAAGTGCTAAAAGATGGAGCGAAACCAAGCTGAGCAGGGTAAAAATAGCCGGTGGGCGAGAACGGTGCCAGTTCATTAACACGCCGAGCACACGGCAAGGCAGCGCCCGCCGGCTTCACACCTCCTCCCCGCTCCAGAGAGGATTAACACCTCGCTCCCAGCAGCACCGGGCCCCTCTGATCCTGCCAGCCCTCACTGGTGGCCGTGGCTGGGCCCTGGTGCCAGTGCTGGGTGCGGTGTTGAGCCTTTGGCACCCCGAGAAGGCAGGGAGCAGCCAGAGGTGAGGGTCTGTGCCGCAGTGCCGAGCAGCTTGCTTAGAGGAGAAAGGGGGTGCAATGCGTCCCCCCAGTCTGTCACGCTTGCTCTGCCCCCATTCAGCCTTGGGGCTGGAGCAAGGCTGAGCACTGATCCACTGCAGGGATGCTCCTGCATCCTCACCCCACACCAGGCTGCAAGTGGCCCCGCCAGGCTGGGGACGCTGGCAGTGCAGTGCACGGGAGATGTGTCAGGATGGGATGTGGCTCAGTTGCCGACGTGGCATCACTGGGCCAGGGGGTGTCCCCTGTACCCCATTCTCCTCCCTGCCCTGTGCCCCGCTCCCGAACATGTGCCCCCCAGCATGCAGCCAGGGAGTGGGGGATGGCAGACTGGAGAGGGCAAGGAGGGAGGAGGAAGGGATTGGGGGGGTCCCTCTC